AAAAAAAAAATGACGAATGAATTTATTCCATCAAAATCCCAAAGGATCTTTGAAAAAAAAAAACGATTTTAAACAGGGAAGGAAAAAAATTACAAATCCGCCATTTTGAAAATTAAAAAAAAAAAGTGAACAATAATTAATGATGAAGTCAAAAAAAAAAAAAGAAAAAAGTTTTTTTAAAATCGTCGTGGATTGATATTCAAATTTAATAATGAGATTAAATTATTCGTTATAGATTAATCGATTTGATTCGATTAGAAAACGATAGGAGTCATTTTTCTTTCCTTTTTTTCCTTACCTTTGAGAAAAAGTGAGAGAAAAAAAATTTTTTTTTAATGATGTTTTTACTACGCATGTTTGTTTTTTAAAAATAAAATTAAATCCTTTTCAAAAAAAAAAAAAAAACTTTGTAATAACGAAAAAAGAAAAAAATTTGTAAAGAAAAAGGTTCGTTTGAAAATGAGCCGACTTTTCCAACTTAATTTTTTTTTATCTATCTCTCTCTCTCTTCCTCCCCCCCTCTTTTTATCTCTCTTTCACTTTTCGTGAAAATTTCTATAATTTTAAAATCCGGTTTTAAAAAAAAATTGTCTATTTATTGTTATAAATAAATAATTAATAGAAAATTTTTTTGTTTACGTTTTTCCAACACTTTTACAACCCGCATATATATCGCCGCCATTTTTTTTGTGGTTAATAATAATAATAATTATTATTATCATTATTCCGACTATTGTTGTTTTTGTTCCTGTTGTTGTGTTAAATTTTGTATTTACTTTTGAATTGTCATATTCATAATATAATATTCATTATATGTTTTTATTTAAATCTCTTTCTCTCTCTTTCTCTCTTTTATCCGGAAAATTTTATATCAGAACATTTTCTTAAGAGTGCGTGAATACGTAAAAATCTGAACGTTAAAAAAAAATTTAATTTCGATAAGGAATCGTTTTGCAAACGATGTTTTATATCATCTCCTAAATGAAAAGAATTTTATAGAATAAGTGAATGGGGAGGGGGAGGGGGGCGTGGTTTTTCGTTTTTTCGAATCCATGACGAAAATTAAACTACCCCATCGGATGGTGGAGATGGTAAATGTTTGTGTGCAGGATGGAAAATGTTCGAAGACGTAAATAAAAATGACAAAAGGGATAAGAATGAAAGAAAAGAAAATTCTAGAATGAATATGAAATTTCATACTTAATAAATAATTTTCCAAAAAGGATTTTTTTTTTAGAATCGGACAAAAACGAATGTTTTTCACTTTCTACCGTGTGCAGAAGTAAAATTAAAGAAATAATAATAATAATTAATAAACTTTAAGAAAACAATAGAATAAGAAATCCTAATTTTGAAAATGGAGAAAAAATAATAACTTATGAAATTTTAAAGGAAATAATGAAAAGAAAAAGGTTTATGTGAAATCTTTATAAATCTTAAAAAAAAAAAATTCGAGGTTTTTCTAAGATAAAGAATTCGAAAAGGATGCTGGATAAAAAAAAGACTTTATTCCTGACTGATAAACAGTCATCTTAAAAACAATGAGGAAGGGAAAAAAAAAAATTCCAGTGAAGTTGTTCGAACTGGAATTCACACTCGATGCAACAACAACAACAACCAAAACAACAACAAACACACGAAAACGTTTGCGAGATTTTTTTTTTTTAAAATCTTTAATGAATCTTATATATTTTTATCTGCATCATCATGGCGATTATCTTGATTTTTTCTAGAAAAAAAAATACGTACGTTTTTTTTAAACTACCTTTTAAATTTTATAATTAAAGTCGTGAATACGAAATAGAACCGAATAATAATAATAATAATAATAATAATAATAACTTTTTTAAAAACATCATTTTTGTGTGCGTTTTCACGTGTCACTTACGCGAATTTTTTTTTTCTTTTCTATTTACACGTTAAATCGTCGATGTCACGACGACACGTCATTAAATATTATTTATCAAACGATAAACATTAATTTCATTGTGAATATTGTGTCCGTAAGATAAACATGTTTTTTCTTTTAAACATAATTTTTCATATAAATTAAAAAAAAATTATAATTTATTATGTAATTAGTAATTTAATTAATTAATAATCTCTTTATTAAAATTTTTAAATCGTTTCGGTTCAAAAATTAAATTAAAATTAAAATTAAAAATTGTTTTTTAAATGTTATTAAAACAAAGAAAATTATTTCGAATCAGCCATTTTTGTTTTTGTTTTTTACTTATTATTTTAGTATAAATTATTTTATATATTAAACATATAAAGAAAATAAATAATGTTTTATAAACTTTTTTTTTTTTTTAAATAAATCGTTTTATAAATTTTTGTTTTTTTTTCTCTAAGTAACTTTTAATCTGATTACGTGTAGGAAAAACCTTTTGTAAGTTTTTAATTTAAATTTTTTGTTTAAAATTAACTCCATTTTATTTTTTAAAGAGAATATATACGTATATTTACGCATACGTTTAAAAAAAAGAACATCAAACATATATTTATATATGTATATATATTTGTTAATGTTCTGATATTAAAATTACCTTATTTTATTATTATTTGTATTACTACTTTGAATAATAATATTAATAATAATAATATTGTTAATATTAGAGTATATGCGTGTGTGTAAATGTTTACCTTTGAGAATATTGATGTTTACATTTATCAGCCTTAGATATTTTAATTATGCTTTTAGTCGTACTTTCAAGCTTATACAAACGCATAAATATTTTTTTTTTTACGTAGGATTTCAGGTGGAAAATCCGTGAGTGAAAACATTTTCGAAATATTTTGTTTAATATAAAATTTAAAAATTATTTTTCAAACTTTTCCAGAGAAACAACTGATAAGAGATAATAGAAAAATATTTTATAGATGATAATAAATAACGGGTTAATTAATTAAAAAAGTTTGAGAGAGAGAGAGATGATTTAATAAACTCCCGATAGAAATTTTATTAATGTAATTATTAAAATTATTTTTTAAAATAATAATAATAATAATAATAATGTTTTTTCTTTTTAGGACATGTCTGAATACAGGTGCGAATCAGGTATGCGTCCGACTCACGTTCCACATAAACCGGTTATTGGAGTTATAGGAGCATCGTTTAGTGTCGTTTCAATAATGGTGGCAAACATATTACGTTTATTCAAGGTAAATTAATTTTAGTATTATTATTATTATTATTATTATTATTATTATTATTATTATCGTTAATTTATTTATTCGTTATTAATTTTCTTATTCGTTACGAGTTAAAAGCTTTTTTGTAAAAAAAAAAAGGTAGGTAAAAATAATAAAGAGAAATATTAGAATAATTTTTTTTTT